AACAGCCGAACTACTGAACTGCAGTCAGCTGAAGTAGCCTGCAGTGCTGCATTTAACCACTGTGCCACCTTGGCTCTTGAACCATTACCAGTTGTAAATGCTTAAAAACTGGAAGTTGGGAATGCCTTTTCCTGGAGACTCAACTTTGGAGGACCTGAGAACTGATTGTGGCTGAGAAGCTTTTGTTCTGGATTTTTGAGCACTGATTCTTCTAGTTCTCCTGAGAAAATATTTCATGCATTAAAAAAGAATCCCTTTCAAGTACTGGAACTTGTTGCTATCCTTGCTCTTGGGATAAGGATTTTCCATTCAATCTGCCATTGGATTTGGTGAGAAAACTGGGCATTTACAGCATGTTGTTGCCTTTGGGGTGGTCCTGATTAATAAGGAAAGGCAGAGCATGTCCCTTACAGAAGTATCTACTCTCCACGTTTGTTCCTTCCTTCTTAGACTGGAGTTTTAATAGCAGGTCTTGGAAAGTAAGTTTTTCATACTTTGAATTTCTTTGGTCTTGCCTGGATGCCTTAATACAGAGGAAGGAGTTTTAGCCCAAATGCTTTGCATAAAGTATTCCTAATATTTCCAGTTAGAAGTATTAGATAGCAAACAGTAAGAAAGTTGAACACCTGTGATTAAGATCCTGGATAATCAGCATAAATCAAGGTCAGTGATACTGGTAAACAAGGTGAACAAGACCACTGGACTTTCTGGTTTTTCTTTGAAGATGTTTCGCTTCTCATCCAAGAAGCTTCTTCAGAACATCTTGGATGAGAAGCGATTCGTCTTCAAAGAAAAACCAGAAAGTCCAGTTGCCTCTTGAAAAAGCACCTTTGGGAAGACCTCTGAATCTTCTTTCACTAAAATTGCTTGATTTCAGTAGATTTGATTACAATTAACTGAGACAATGCACAGGAAACAGGAAATGGGACTTTTATTGCAAATTGTAAGGAACAACATATGTATGAATTATAAAGTTATTATTTCTGGGGGAGGAGCAGGAGTTGGATTCAAAAGATAAATAGAGGTCTGGTCTGAGAGAGGCTTTGGGGGCAGGCATCCTATTAACATGAACATGAACATTATGTTAAAGTAACATTAACACCCTATTAACACGTGTACTGCTCAGCTCCGTGAATATAAAAATGCAGCAACTGCCTCCAGAAGCAGATGTCGTGAGATGACGCTGCAAGGTGTTAGAGAATTCTGAATCACACAACCTGCCCTGAAACATTAAGCCACCCTGTTCAATATTAAGGCCTATAATCAGGCAAGAATTCACAATATTCAGATATATCCTCATTTGATCAGCATATATGTCTTTATTTAACTCTTACATTTCATGTACTACTGTTTCTCCTGCTTTGAATAGATATCCTCCTTTTCTTTGTTTGTTTTTTGGAATTTAACATTGAAACCAGTGGCGGGTTGCAGGCGGTATACCCCGGTATGGGCATACCGGAGCCGGCCCGGAGCACTGGGTACCGCTCCGGTATGGTGTTCCAGAGGGCTCACCCACCTGCCCGCACTCCTTACCTGTCTTTAAAGTCTTCGGCGCTGCTGCACACGCGGAGCTCCGAGCAGCTGGAGTATCGCGGAGGCTCACGGAGGCATCGCTGGACGGCAAGATGCAACCGTACCGGTTGGAACGGGATCCAAAACCCACCACTGATTGAAACATATGTCTTGTGGTCTGTCTAAACTCAAAATATATACTGATAATTTTGTCAAGGTTGCTCCTCAGTTTCTGGCTCCTATAGTCTCCTTTGACATTGAATAGTGTATGTTTTGACAAGAAATATAAATAAGCTATTTTTTAAAGTTTTAAAGTTGAAGTGGGGGTGAACACAGCAGGCGGAGAAATGTGAGGCCCTTGCCTACCAGTGGCAAGGTCCTGGCCTAACTACCCCAGCTGAGATTGCCAGAACTGCCATCACTAAGTGATGTGGTCACGTGATGTTTTACCAAATGAGCCTTTCACTTAGCAACGGAAATCCTTGTGCCAGTTATGGTAATTAAGCACAGACTACCTGCACTGAATATGTAGTAAGGGAAGATGAATTGAAAGATGTTTCTGGTTTTAAAATTGGAGGAAGGAACATCAATAAACTGCACTATGCTGATTACACTGTCCTGCTAACCAAAAAGGCAAAGGATCTGCAAGTTCCCGAACTAAAATTAAATATAAAAAAGACCAAACTAATGACAACAGGTAGAGTAGCCACCCTTAAAATTGGCAATGAAGATACTACAGTAGTGTAGCTTCTGCCTTTTAGGATCAACCATTGACAGTAAAAGAACAAGCTGTCAACAAATATGCTGCAGACTAATAGTTGGTATGGTACTATACAGCAGCCACAAAGACCTTCGAAAAGGTATTCAAATATGAGGTCTCTATACAATGATAAGAATAGTACTACTCATGATAGTCGGTGAGACTAAAGTTCCACAGGGTTGAAGTAGCAAGATAGGAAAAGCATTGATACCTTTGAACATTGATGTTAAGAGAAGACTTCTGAGAATACCATGGACAACCCACAAAAAAACTCCCACCAAAACTCATCAGTCAAATCAATCCAGAGTTCTCACACAAAGCATAAATGACAAGGCTCAAATAATCCTATTTTTGGACACATTATGTAAAGATTCAGATATCTGGAAAAGGCTCTGAGGCTGGGAAAGGTGGAAGGGAAGGGAAGAAGAGGATGAACAGCAGCAAGGTGGATGGACTCAGTTACAGTGGCAATGGGTGCAATGTTAGAAGACATGAAAAGACAGATCCTTGTGGAGAAAATCTATGTGGTTGCTAGATCAAAAACTACTAGATGGCACTTAATCAATCCAAACACAAGTGTTTTCTAAAATTGAGGCTTGAGAATATTCTGTTTCACAAGAGTGTTATTTCTGATCATTACATAAAAGCCACAACTCATCTAAAATAGGTTAGAAATTGGCAGAAGAAAGAAAACCACCACCCTCTAGTGTACAACTACAGAAAGGACAGATACTTTCAGAAAATTATTCTAGGAACAGATGTGAATTATAGAATAACAGAGTTGGAAGCAGAGGTGGATAGTGGTGGCATCAGGAGGCTCCGCCTACCCCCGGACGCTTCTGCGTATGTACAGAAGCATTGCGCACACACGTGAGCGCACAAGCGCGCACAAGCACGCACAAGCGAACTGGTAGTAAAATAAATTGAAATCCACTGCTGGTTGGAAGGGACATTGGAGGTCTTCTAGTCCACTCCACTGTTCAAGCAGGAGACCCTATATCATCACAGGCAAAGGGCTATCCAATCTCTTGTTTAAAATCTGCAGCTTTGGAGTATCCACAGCTTTTGGAGGCAAGTTGTTTCACTGATAATTGTTCTGTCAGAAAAGCTGTCTTTAGCTCTAGGTTTGCTTCTCTCCTTGATTAGTTTCCATCCATTGCTTTTTCTCCTGCCTTCAGGTGCTTTGGAGAATAGGTTGACCCCCACTTCTTTGTAGCAGATATTGGAACAAATTAGATACTGGAACACTACTATCGTGTCACCCCTGGGTATGTCTCATTAAACTAGACATATCCAGTTCCTGCAACCGTTCTTCATACGTTTTAGTCTCCAGTCTCCTAATCATCTTTGCTGCTCTTCTCTGCACTCTTTCCAGAGTCATCTTTTTTATATTGTGGTGAGCAAAACTGGATGCAGAATTCCAAGTGTGGTCTTCACCAAGGCATTATAAAGTGGCACTAACACTTCCCATGATTCTATAACAGCAATAGTTGTCAGCAAAGACCAACAGACACACACGCGTGCACACTTACACATCTGTGGCTGGATGTGGGGAAATATAAAACCAAACTTGGGATTTCCTTCTTTTATTAAGGATTGCTCTCTCCTTTCTTACAAATGAAAAGACTAAGGAGAGCTATAATCGGATTTTACACTTTTCTGAAAGGCTTGCAAGAGGAGGCGCTTCACCTTCCCACTCATGCCTTCTAGCATTCTGTGAGCAGCGGCCCTGAAGAAACATAGTTACTGGTCTGATGAGAGGATGAATACATGTACAAATCAGTAACAGACAGTTCTGAAGGTGCAACGTTCTCCAAATCTTTTTTGAAAATTGTCATTTCTGATGCCAGAATTGTCCCATTTTTGTGTGTGTATGTGTATATGTGTAGAACTGACTGATTACATTATTGCTGATGAATAACTTTGTTTCCAAGGGGTCCTTGGTCCTCTCTGAGCTTGCCTGTTTTCTTGCAGATGTTTCATTACCCAAATTAGATAACATCCTCAGTGCTATACTGATACCCTAGCACTGATGACATTACCTAGTTTGGGTAATGAAAGAAAAGCACCAAGGACTCCTCATGAGCTACAAATGTTCTCCCTTATTAGTAACTTTGTATCTGCTATCTATCTCATATTAGGAGCATGGAGCATGAAACCCTAATGCAATGGACTGCATTATTAGGTCTTGTCACAGCATTGCCATAATAGATATGAGAAATGAGTTGGCAACTGCAAGGACTACTAGGTTTATTTCCCGTATAGCTTTGGATTTGTTACATAGGCCTGTGGTTGATGATAAGGAGCTGTTTTCATGTGGGCAGCCAGCTTGCTTATGCTCAAATACATGCCTACCAATAAAGATCTATAAACAAGGAATAAAATATGATTACCAGATTATATATAAAATGTATAGCCCTTTCCTAGATCAGGTGCACTTTCCAGTGGTTTCCTGGTCCCTACCGCCCACTAGTGGCCATTCCAGCTCTCATGGTAGGCGGTAGGGGTTTGCTGTAACTCTGCTTTATAAATTTTATAAAGTAAAGTTACTTCCCTACTTTATAAATCACCATTACTGTGGAACCGGTGAGCAGTTAGAAAATTTTACTACTAACAGATACAAAAGTGGGTGGTAGGTATAAAAAGGTTAACTACCCCTGCTTTAGACAAACACTTAAGCCCTAGTCATCACACAGTGTGACTACTGTAATGGATACCATACAGAGGTGGTATTCAGCAGGTTCTGACCAGTTCTGGAGAACCGGTAGCAGAAATGTTGAGTAGTTCGGAGAACCAGTAAATACCACCTCTGGCTGGCCCTGCCCCCATCTATTCTCTGCCTCCCAAATCCCAGCTGATCGGGGGATTTTGCAGTAACTTTCCATTGGAGTGGGGTGGGAATAGAGATTTTACAGTATCCTTCCCTTGCCATCCCCACCAAGCCACGCCCACAGAACCCATAGTAAAAAACAATGAATCCCACCACTGATACCATAGTATATGGGGCTGCCCTTGAAAATGACCTAGAAGCTTCAGTTAGTCCAGTAATGGGTATGCCTTGATATGCCGGTGTAACACCACTTGTCTGTTGCTCACAATGAACTCTTCATTATCCCAGAAGTCAATAGAGGTACTCATCATTGAGTGACTACTTTGTGTAGCGACCGTTCAGTTACAACAGTGATGAAAAAAATAACTTTACAACCAATCTTTGCAATTACAATCTTCACAGGTCTGTAAAGCAAAGGTAAGCTGAAGTATTATCGTTTCAGACAGTTTCATTTAGCATTTGCTTCATTCAAGGACCAAGTTGCTGGTCTCAATTGTGGCCACTAAATAAGGAGTACTGTAGCTTTTCAAACCTGGGAATGACACTGCTATGTGTTGTCAAAATGGAATTTATATACATCAACTATAATCACACAGATTCCAGAAAAAATAAGATTCCTGGTGTGTAAGATATACATACGGTATACTGAGTTAATTCTGCAAATCTGTAGGAGATTTTTCACTCAAGACTATTGTATTCTAAAATATTGATAATGAATAAAATGGACTCTTACATTCTTCTTAGATTCTTCATCATTCCAAATCATGACCGTTGTTTCTCCTTATCTTTTTATTATTAAATTTGTTTTCTGTCCATCTCGCCTTGAAGGCATTCTGGGAGGGTTACAATTAATTATAATGTCACTGTTTTTCCCCAAGGCTCTGGAAGACAAATTATTATTTGCTTGACTGGTAGTTTGTGGTGAAGTTTGAAGTCTGTGAAGAAGCTTCTATGTTAATTTTTTTTTTAAAAAATATTCAGTGGCAATCAAAGTAAGGTTTTACACTTAGGCAAGAAAAACCAAATGCAAAGGTATAGAATAGGTGGTACCTGGTTTAACCGTAGTACATAACTGTGACAGGAATCTAGGAGTCTTAGTGGACAACCAAATAAATATGAGCCAGCCGTTTGCTGCAAAAAAGGAAATGCATTCTTAGGTTGCATCAGCAGAGAAATACTATCAAGCTCATGTGAAGTACATAGTAAAAGAAGTTGCGTATAGAAAATGTATTAACAGTTAATATAATTAAGAGATTTTAAATAAATCATGATGAGGATTGTTATAGTATAAGACATTTAAGATATTGGAAATTAAGCTGAGAACAGATTAAATAATGAATATGATTGTAAATTTTAAATGTTGGCACAAAATATTTGTACCCAGACAACACACTGTTTAATGGGAAATGGATTGTTTATATAAAAATAAAATAAAATATTTTTTAAAACGTTGACAAGGTTGAAAACCTCTGTAATAAAAGGTAGACAAGTTCTTAAAAAAAAGATTATGTGAAGTATTAGCACAGCCCAGATAAAGTAATTCATATTTTAAAAAAATCTATGCATATAAATAACAAGGAAGAATTTTTTTTTAAAAAAAAAT